GTGTCATTTTTCTGATGTGCAGCCAACGGAAATGGTCAGCAGTTAACGGTAATTCCTTGGCCAGCAATTTGAAGCCATGGTTCACTGAGAATTAAGGCGAAAACTCCTGTGTAAAGTAAATGTTTTTGACCATTGGAATGAGAGAATAAAATGTAAACAAATTTTAGTTGTGTTGTTTAGTTAACACTAAAAAATTGATGTACGGAACTTCAAAGGAAAACTTTATTTGTAATATTTTCGCAGCTAAAACTATTATCTGTTTGTTGAGCACATTAAGCACCTTTTTACTCTTCCCAAAATGAGTCTTAGGAAGCCTGAAATATGTTCGCATTAAAGATAAAAAATTAAACATATATCTTTGCGCTTTTTGTGTATTTTCTGTTAATAGATAACTATTAAATTTCAGTCAAAAATTCTCTCCCCACAACGAGCTGAATGCCATAAAAATATATCCAAAACCATTGAAGCAATAACAATTCCTTTCTGGGAATACCCGCAGCCACCCAATGGTTTCCTTTCCTTTTGCAATTGCCTCACTTATCATTTCCCCATACCCTACCCTGCCTGTATCTCTCTCTCTCTCTCTTGTATGTGGCACCTATGCAAATCGCTCGCGGTGCCCATTTCTAATTTCACTTTCCCTATTTTGCGATAAATTGCGTTATCATTTTGTACGCACATGCGAGAGGCAAAGGAAAATTTCTCAGCAACTAAAAAAATACAAAAAAAAAATAAATAACAAAGTGAATGGAATGCCGTCGAAGTAGGGGCAGAGAGGTAACATAGGGGGGCTGTGTGGTGTGGCATGCAACAATTTACTTTCATTTGCGAGTCAGACAGCGCCCCGGGGTTTGGACTGCGCCTGCGGGCGCCAGCGCCTGCGCCTTATCGCAGGTTTGTCTTTTAATTGTCGCCTTGTCGCCAAAAACTGGAGCATAGAAAATTAATTGTTTGCTCTATTTTACATAATTCGCGGGCAAAATGGCTCCGCTTATCTCCTGTGCCGTGCCCCTACCCCACCCCTGGATAAGGGGTGTGTGAGTGAAAATTACAATGCGGGTTTTTGCACGCAAAAAGTTTGTTGCCCAAGTCTTTTGTTTTGCAGGGAAAAAGGTAGAAGGATGTAAGGGATTCGATGAAATAATAAAGCTAAACGATTAATAAATTGTATATAATTTAATGGAGTCAAAATGAGTATAAATATAATAATCAAATCCATTAATTACTTTCATAATAATTTCAATCATTGCACACAGGACAGAGCTGACCCCCAAAATCAAACCCAAACTACACACTGAAACAGTTACAGCCTCACATTAAAAACCCAAAAAATTGAATTAGCTAAGGGGCAAGAGCAAACATATCTCATCCGAAAAATACCTTTCAACATTCAGACACGTCAAAGTCAAGCGTTTTTCCCTGCCGCTGTTGCCGCTGTTGCCGCTGTTGCCCCTGTTGCCATCTGCTGATCTGTAACAAAAAAAGTTACTTAATAACTATAAAAAGCGACTGAACCGAAGCACACACTCAGATACTCAGACACTCTCGGAGATAAATGGCCCCTTTTACAAGACAGAGAGAAGAAATACAAAAAAAAACCTTCAGCGGCTGTTAACATTTTTGCGCTTTTTTCTTGGCCTTCTCCTTCTTTTTCTTGTTTGCTGTTTGCTGTCGAACGAATTTCACTTTCACAGCATCGCATCCGATACGAGAGTGGAACCTCGTGATATGAAACGACGGACGGGGCATGTGTAGTTAATTACGCATGATGTGGTTGGGCTTCAATTTCTATGCCACAATGGCAAATAATATCGATCATTTACGGCCACAAACGACCACAAAAATGACATCGAATTGAGTGGAAACGAGGAGTTGCCGCTACTCGTATGAAAAGCAACAGCAGACACGTTCCAAGACGCACCAAACACCGCGAGGAGGTATACAGCATCTGCAAGTGAAACTTTTACCGCCACGAAATCGAACAAAAACATTCCAAAACAAGCAACAAATTCTGTTTTTTAGTTCGTAATAATATTTGAGGTTCAAGCCGCTCCCAGCAGCTCATCTCATCGCAGGCATGTCAAGCTGCCGCCAACGAATTTGTCAGCTACTCAATTAATAACCATAGACAAATATCCAAAATATGTTTATAAAGACATACAGACATACGATATACATATCTATATGCGAATATAAATGTGTGCTGGAGACCCCCGGAGGCTGGCTGGCTGGATAGCTGGCTGGCTGACTGGACATCAGTGCTTGGAGCGGTAGCTTTAGTTTCGACGGGGGATTTGTGAAAGCGTTCAATTAAATTAATGGACTTAACGAAGCCGTTTTGGCAAATGCCAAAAACAACAACAACAAAATCAACGCATTGAACGCATGGATAAATAATTACTTGTCCGTGGCATTAAATGCATTTTCGTTTTTCTTTTAATTGACATTCGATGTCAATGAATGCCACGCGAGGCTCTAAGGAAAGTTATCCTTATATGGAAATTTGACTTTTGATGGAAATGAAGAAAACCCAAATAAATAGTTTAATGATAGCAAAATATTAATGCATGTAAAGCTCTGAGGAAAGTCCTTTAAGTCGAAACAATATCATATCTATCATATGCAATTTTTTATTGAACTAGTTTCCCGATAGAAAATGAGAGCAAAAGTCCTGATTTTGATGTAGATGCTGAGTTATTTGATAAATTACTGGTCTCGTTGATTTGACTTACACAGGCAGGAAATGTCGTCGTGCTTTAATGTGGGCTATTCAAATCCTTGCGGCTCGATCATTAACAATTGAAATTCATCCACGATTCGTATCGATATCCGGCTCATCAAAGCACAGAGGGGGTTGCAATCTATACAGCCTCGAAGCCACGTAAATTACCAAGAATTAGAACGAGCTCTGCTCTCCGATCCAAGTGGAGTGGCGTGGAGACCAAGGAGTTATGTGAGTGCAGTGCAGTGCAGTGGTTCACCTAGTTTCCAGTGGACCAGTTGTGACCAGCCGCCGCCTGACCAGCGTCACGCATTGTCATTCAATCAATTGGAGACATCGGCGGCGACAACTGAACTGCTGCTACTGCTGCCTGCCCCTTCTTGCAGCTTGCAACTTTCCGCGCAGAGACAACAACAACTTTTCATTGAATTTTCACTTGCAGCGTCGCGGCACGTCCACTTTTCACATGATTTAATGTTTGCCTCTGCCCCACAGATATGTACTCCGGCACTCTCGTAAATATGACTACGTCGATATGGCCTACGGGGCCATATGGCGGTAGGGGGAGAAATGAAAAATGCTCAACCCCCAGGATCGTAAACTAATTAGTTGAAAACAAAAGTTGCACCTTCTCGGAGATTTCTTTCGAGTGTGAGCAAATATGTAATTTTATTGTGTTAATTAAAAAAAGAAACAAGACAAAAGCAGAGCCAAGAAATAATGCCCTTATATGCGGCATCTCTCAGAGGAAGAAGACTGTCGTCGGGCAGTGTACGAGTGTGTGAGGGAGACCTAGAGAGAGAGACATAGAGACAGAGAGACACTGAGATCTCCAGCGAAGAAAAACTTTCACTTGCCAAACAGCAACAATAAACAATTCCATTTGGCAGTTACACATAACAACATAGCAACAACAAAAACTACAACAATGAGCATTATAAACAAGCTCCATCAGTTTCGGAAGAAAAATTTGTGTCTTCTTTGTCTGCGATTGAAGTCGCTTGATAAGGAATTTGTTCGGGTGCCAGCAATTAGCAGAGAATACTCGTAGCACCGAAAAATTTCGCCTACCTTTTTCCGCTAATTGCCAAAAGATTTCTAGTTTTATATGCAAATCGGCAGACCATTTGCAGGGAGAAGAAAGTGAGTCAGGGAAAATAGTAGTCGAAAATAACCTATAAATAGTTAACTGTTAAATAAACAAGCCAGCCACCACACCAAACCCAAATGAATGAACATGTCAAAGCTGTTCGCCAAGAGAGTGGAGAGAGGGAGCGTAAGGTGTAAGGAGAGCAAGGTAAACTCACAGAAAGAGAGAATGACCCTCTCTTTCATATAAAAATCTAAGCTATTAAAGGAGTGAGCGAAAGAGAGAGAAGTCACGTGGTCATTCATTCATTTAGCGATATCAGAGATATCAGATATCAGAGACGGCAAATAATAAACGTAAATACCCGCTAATTCATATATTAAATTCTAAACGGCTGCTTGAAATGAGAGTTACAAAGAGCAGACACGACGCATCACTTACTGCAAAGAAAAAAAGAAAAGAAGCAAGGAAAATTATGCAATCCGTTCATCAGCTGCTATGTACGTAGGGTTCAAAGTCAATTTCAGCTCCAGTTTGGTGTATATCTCTCCCACTACTACCCACTCCCCACGGATTCCCCCTCCCCACAAAACATTTGACGGCAAGTTTGTGGTGTCCGTTACTGTTTCAGTGGGTTAATAGTACACTTGCTCAACGCCACAGCATAGCAAGCCGGTTTCCCACTCCCGACTTAAATTCCCGTCTCCAGTCTCCCGTCTCTCAGCTCTTGGCCGACCCGCCGTCTGCTGTGCCTCGTATTTTATGGCCAGGGCTTGTTAAAAGCCCATTTACATGTGTTTTGTGCTGAGAAGAAGAGTTGGGGAGTTAGGTGTGCTGTGTACTGTGTGTGGAGTTGGTAGTTGAAACTAAGAGCCGTGCAATATGCTCCAACTGTTGCCATCCATCTGTAAAAGTAAAACTGCCGAGCAACAACATTCACCAAAGGCCAAAAACAAAAAGAAGAAACCCAGCCGCTGCTGCTGCTGTTGCTGTTGCTCTTCTGGCGGCAAGTGAAATGCGTTCGCTGGGGCAGAGACGGAGCAGAGACGCCACCGATACCATACCATACCGCTTACTTTTCCAAAAGCAGCGCAGCAGCTTCAGCCGTAAGCTGTGTGAAAGCTGTCAGTCTTTAGCGGCACTCAGACGCAGGCGCACCACCGTCGGAGTTGAAATCGGAGTCGAAGTCGAAGTCAGAGTCGGAGTAGATGTCGGAGTGGTCCAATGTTAACAGCGACTGTTAAGGCGGAATGTAATGCTTGGCTACTGCACTGTTGGGCAACTGTAAAAGTAAGACCCGAGAAAACACTCGAAAAATTAATGGCCTGGCCATAAAGTGCAGCCACTGTGGAAAACCAGAGACAGACACACACACACAAAGACCGTCTAAATGCGTTGGCGTTCCTTTTGGCTGTACTGTTATAGTGAAAATAGAAAGTGGTTCCTGTTTGGTGCGCGCGAGTTTTCATTTATGCTTTACATAAAATGCAGCTGTGTGTGTGTGTGTGTGTCTGCTCTTTCTCTCTATGAGTGTTTGTGCGTGTCATCTGACATGAAAAGTGGCAATTGTTGCTATTAATTTTGGTGCTTAATGATGGCCATAAAGTCAGCTGACATCCATAGATACAGGGTGCTGGTGCTGGCTGGCTGCCTGGCTGAATATTTGCATAATTAAATAGTGGAAATAGTGATATTATCTAACCAAAGAAAGCGGAAAATAACCTTTAACTCGAGCTTGAATAGCTGTTCAAATATAACTGTGGTTTTCTGTGGTGCTTTTGCTCCCACTCGGCAGCAGCTGCTTCCACTCAGCTGTTAATGTTAACGTTAACCCCTCTCTGTTAACGGCCTGCCAAAGCAATTGAATGGCCTCAAAAATATCTTCGTATGCAAATCTGAAAAGCAATTCTGCAGCATTGTTTACCCTTGTTCCCCTTTCTTTTCTTGCAGACACAACGAGAGGCAACATCCACCACAACGACGGAGTGAAGAAAGCCACAAAGAGCTGTCCGCGACGTAGGGGAAGAGACGACGACGAAGAAGAAGCGAAACCAAAAAACTATATAACTTTTTTGTTGGATTCCAAATCGCCAATTTGGAATTTCAATTTCAACAGAGAGAACAGAACACACACAGAACCAGATCAAAATGGGACACCACCTGACGCGACGCAGTTGCCTCTTGGCCATAGTTCTATGCTTGATATTCAACACAAAGGTGAGTGAGTCCCAAACACAAACACAAGCCCAAACCCAATCGATCCATGTGGAAAGTGATCGATTTTACAACCCACTCGATGGATTTCTACTTCTACGATGGCAATCAAATATGTTTGTGCATAATTTCAATTAGGAAACGCCAAATGCTGTACAGTTAGAGTCCGATAGAGGAAGATCAGAGATGTGGCCCACTTTATAAGACACATGGAGCGACGAGGCCGACTGCGGCTGCGGATGGGGCTGGGGCTGGGGCTGCTCTCCGCCGCGAGCTCATTTCGTATGCAGAGGGGACCCGGCCATAGCGGATCTCTTCACTTTCAACTCAATCGACTACCGTTTTATCAATAGCAATTCGAATGCAAATCAGTGCGAGTGTGCCTATATTGATAGATTGGGACAGAGACGGAGACGGAGTTGGAGTCTGAGATCGGATGGGAGAGCCTCTGCCTCTATAGCGGTTCTGCTGCCAGATCAATATCAGTCGGTGTCTGAGAGTGAGTGAGGGTTAGGAGCAGGCTGAGGCTCAGTTTTTGTGCTGAGGCAAAATGTAACAACTGGCACTGAACGGCACTTTGCTAATCGTTGCAATTAGTGCTAGAAAATAATCCGACACATACTTGCCGAGAGAGAGAGAGAGAGAAATTAACAGAAGACTTAACAGAATATAGACATACATAGCTCTACAGTGGAAAAAAACGTTCAAAATTAAAGAATATATTTTAGTTTAGATATCAAAATATGATCTTAATGGGAAATTTAATATCATATTCAAATTATTCATAGACATTTGATGATTTCTATCACTTTCTTGCTGCAAAAAGTTAACAGCAGTTAGGCAGAAGCTTACAGAAAAGCTGTCAATCACTGGCGGCTGTCAATCAATATTAGAAATGCCCATAAATTCGCTTGGTTCATCCTCAGACCCCTACACGCTTTCGATTGATAAGCATGCCCAAAACACAGTGTTTTCTGGTACCTCGTACCCCTCCCCATCTCTCTTTCTCTATGTGTGGATTGGCTGCCATGTAAATCGAAACATCAGTGGGTTATTTAAAGCGCATCAATCACTAGCACCCAATGGAAAAACACACACACACAAACACAGCAGTCCATGCCACTCCACGCCATTTAGCCACTACAATCACCGACAGTCTGTGAAGCTGTGGCTCTGCTCTTGTCCAAAGGAGATGCTGGCCAAGGCAGTGGCGCTGCGTGTCTGGTCGGATCGGATCGGATCTGCTGCTGCTGCTGCTGACGATGTGGTGGTACCGAGGTGCCGAGGCGGCGAAGAAATTGCAGTTATGCTCTGATTTGTACCAGTTTTGACTTTCTTGTTTATAGCGCATTAATTCACAGAGATTGCTTTATTATTTATTTATTGTCAGTTTTCTACGGGCCGCGAGTGAAATGCCCCAAGTCCGATCGAAAGAGAGAAGAAAAAAAAAACTGATTACAAATGCCATACGACGAGCAGCGCATCGGGCAAACGATCGATCGTTGGGGCCACAGAATCGATATTTACGAGGCATATTGCCATTGATAGAGATATCTCCCATCGGCATGGCATTGCGTGGAATGTCCAAAAAACAAGAAAAGAAAGAAAAACAGCGACGTTTTTTTTTTGTTTTTTGTTTTTGGTTGGTATGTGTTTCTGTTTGTTGTCTCGCTGTTTGTTTGCTTTTCTTTGGTCATTTCACTTTCAAAATCATCTCACGACATCTCAACGCGTGGACAACGGCAACGGCGAACAGCAGCCACCGAAATCCACACCGTCATCGTGTGGTGGTTGGCTTTAACTTTCGGTTTTCGTTGGGTCTCTCCTCTCCTCTAGACAGACAGACATCCGTTTCCCGTGTGCAGGCAGGCAGCCAGCCAGCCAGAGATCCATTAAATTATGAACCAGATGTGAAACGGGAATGGAAAAAGCCCCAAAAGAAAACGAAAGAAAGTGACAAGCGAAGGCCCCTTCCCTAGAGAGTGCGGGGTGTGGTGGAGAGATCCATCTTTCAGTGGGTTTTTGTCTTACGCAATGGGCTAAGCTCTCTGTCATGCTTTCCCCCCCACCAATCCCGCACCACACGACTCCACTCCGCTCCAGCAGCCATTTAATTTCAAAATATTTTTAAGCTGTCGGTGTAATTTTCAACGCTTCGCGTCGCTTCTTTCAAAATGTCGTCTCACACAATTTGGATTTGCTGCGGTTTCTGGCTGCGATTCCGATTGCATAACAGCCACACAACACAATTAAATGGCCAAAAGTAAGCCAAGCTAACAAGCCAAGCAATTGGGCGCTTTCCGCAATCCTGCTAGCTGAGCCATAACCCCACCCACCCAGGCTCTAATCGAAAAGAAAGATCCAGCTGTGGCATAATATTGGGTTGGGTAGTGGGGAAAGAGCTGCAACACAAGTTGGAAGAGCTTTGATCTCTTTACTTTATATCCACATTCATAGAAGTGAATCCCCATCTAATTCCCAATTCTCTAATTCTCTTTCCTTGCAGCAACTGTCAGTGCATGGCGATGCCTCACACATTGAATCCGCCGCCTTGCCACTGGAACACAGAGCCGGCTATGGCCCGCCGGCGCCCATTTATGGCGCACCACAGGGACCACTGAGCACTGGCGCCACCAATGACCTGTCCGAGGAGGCCTGGCCGCTGGCAAGCACCAACGACAGTCCGCAGATCAAGCACCTGCAGGTGCAGTGCGAGAAGACCCACATGCGGGTGAACATCGAGTTCGACCGTCCCTTCTACGGCATGATCTTCTCCAAGGGCTTCTACAGTGATCCGCACTGCGTGCACCTGAAGCCGGGCACTGGCCACCTGAGCGCCACCTTTGAGATCTTCCTCAACAGCTGCGGCATGACCAGCTCCGCCAACCACAATGCGGCTGGCTATGGAGCACCCACGCCGTCGGGCAGCTACGTGGAGAACACAATCATCATCCAGTACGATCCGTACGTGCAGGAGGTCTGGGATCAAGCACGCAAGCTGCGCTGCACCTGGTACGACTTCTACGAGAAGGCTGTGACCTTCAGGCCCTTCCAGGTGGACATGCTCCATGCGGTGACGGCCAATTTCCTGGGCGACAATCTCCAGTGCTGGATGCAGATTCAGGTGGGCAAGGGACCCTGGGCCTCTGAGGTCTCTGGCATCGTGAAGATCGGTCAGACAATGACCATGGTGCTGGCCATCAAGGACGATGAGAACAAGTTCGATATGCTCGTCCGCAACTGTGTCGCCCATGACGGCAAGCGGGCTCCCATCCAACTAGTGGACCAGAACGGATGCGTTGTCCGGCCAAAGATCATGAGCAAGTTCCAGAAGATCAAGAACTTCGGCCCCTCCGCCTCCGTTGTGAGCTTCGCCTACTTCCAGGCCTTCAAGTTCCCCGACTCCATGAACGTCCACTTCCAGTGCGTCATCCAGGTGTGCCGCTACAACTGCCCCGAGCCCAAGTGCGGTCCCGGCCTTCCCGGCGGCGAGTACGGTCTGCCCCAGCTGGGCGGCAATGGTCTGTCCGAGGAGTATGGTCCGCCAGAGGCCTACGAACGCAACGACTTTGCTTTGGGCGGTCTGCCCCCAGCAGCATATCCCGATCCTCGCCATCCCGCCTCCGATGCCACCGGCGCGTATTCCGAGAACCAGCCCGATGTGGTGCCCTCGCCCCAGGCCCAGACCTCCTCCGCTGTGCCCACAGCTGATTCTGCGGCAGGACCTGGTTCCGGACCAGCCAGCTCCCAGTCGCCACAACAGGCACAGGCCAACAGCAACGAGTTGGGACTGCCTCCGCCGCCACTGCCCGGCCAGCCTGGACTGTACAGCACCGTGAAGCGCAAGGATGACCTCAGTGCCGGCGGCAATCTGGTGTCCCTGGGCGGGCGCCCGCGTTCCGTTGAGGGGCTCGATGATTTGAGGGGCGTGCGCCGGCGTCGTGACACCATGGACATTGTGGTGAAGCCGCAGCGCATCTACAAGCGCAACGCCCAGGAGATGACGGACGTGAACACGAGCCGGATCATTCAGGTGGTGGCGCCGGGCGACGTGAACTTTGCCCTCAACAGCAATGCCAGCAACGAGACGGTGGTGATCCAGTCGGCTAGGTCCGCCGATGCCGAGACCATCTGCATGTCGGTGCCCAGCTTCGTGGGTGGCCTGGTGATGCTGCTGCTCGTCCTGGCCGTGGCCTCTCTAGTCGCCGCCTTCCTGTTCGTTCGTGTGCGCCACTTTGATCGCAAGGGTGCGGGCATGGCCTACGTGAACTAAACAGGAAACAGAAGCAGAAGCAGAGCCAGAATCGAATTGGGATTCAGAATCATCAATCAGCAGCAACGACGAAACGGCGTGAACAGAAAACCAAATCAGTTTTATGTGCACTAAATGGATTCACCCGCGTCATCCTCATCATCCACCACACTCCTTGAAGAACTCCACTCCTCTATTTATCGACCTATCCCATTCCTCACACCTACGCCACTATTTATTTATTTTTTGGTTATTTATTGAGTCGCGACTCGAATGGTTTCTATCTTTTACCACAGAATGCCCATGCCCCCCTACAATGCCCACAATGCTTATCTATCCTATGATTTCCTTAGTTATTTACGAATCGAACTTGAAACATACGAAATTGCGGCGTAATTTCGTTCATTGTCAGACTTGTTAAGTTTCAGTTATACATATTAAAATAATGAAAGATATCTGGGGAACCAGATAAGGCGTTAAATGTTACATATATACATATATTATACATACATACTATATCGTATATCGGCAGACATGGAAAAGCAGAAAAATCGTTTACCAGTAAGTTAATATAGCAGATGTATATATTAAATTATTTATTTATTACTTTATTTGATAGCTGCGAAATAATAAAAAGTTTACTTTTATTAAATATTCATATCTTTACGAGTGGGTCTATCTACAATTATTATCGCTGGCTGGCTGGCTTGCTGGCTAGCTGGCTAGCTGGGCAGCAAATGCAATCCTATTGATAAGGATGATAAGGCATGATGAAATGTTCTTGAGGTAGTGAAATACTAGTGTTATCAGTGGGCGGGCGGCTTGTTTTTGCGAATAAGCACCCCGCAACAAATCCAAAAAGATGTACGAAAATACATGTAAATTTATTGGTGAACACATATTTACATATTTATCTAAAGATCCCTTTGAGCTTAACACTTTAAAAAACAACAGTCGGCATAAAGTGCCATCGAAACAATTGATGCACGCATCTATATAATAGTCGCCTGAGCTGCCTGAGGATGTCTGGAACGACAACACCGCCAGGTGTTTGACTATATATCTAGCACTCAAAAAGCAAAACAAAAAGCGTAACAACTATGAACTGGTTGGGGATTTGGTTTGGGGGGTTCTACGCGGATCGGGCATCGTTGATGGTGGACGGGACGTGCACTTCCAGTCCATCCAAGTCCTTGGAGAGGGTTATTTGGCAGCCCAGACGCGAAGTGTCAGTCAGTTCGTAGGCCAGATCCAGCATGTCGAGCTCCTCGTCGCCGGGCTTATCGGGCAGCTTCTCAAAGTCGTTAGTCTTGAAGATCAGGTGGCACGTGGAGCAGGTCAGGGTGCCCTCGCAGGCGCCAAAGCCGTCCAGATCCACATTGTTGTTGACCACCACGTCAAGCAGGGAGTCGCCCACCTTGCCGGATGTCTTGATCTTGGTGCCATTGGCACGCACGAAGGTTACGTTAACGCTGCAAGCAATAGGCGTGATTTAGTAATTGTTAGTTTAAGTGAGGAATGCCATTCATAAACACGGCGGGCACTCACACATCTTGCTGCCTCAGGGCCAGACCCAGCGAGAAAGTACGCGAGGCAATTGATGGACTGATGATAGGGAGATTGCTTCTCATCCAGGCGCCACGCAGAGCCAGCTTCGCCGTATTTCTGCAAGTGTTGATGACCAGCATGTTTGCAACCACACACAGACACAAGCTCACTCCCAATTATTAATAATTAAAGTATTAAATTAAATTAAGGCGGACACGGCGTACGTACACGCAACAGCTTTCGGAGAATTGATTCGATGAATTGGTTCGATGATATTTGTTCCAAACAGCTGTTTCGATTGGAAGTACATCGATACATCGATACATTCGACAGCATGGCCGCCGGGAGTGAAATTTCGTGTTTTTGGAATGATTTTCAATTAAAACGGCCGCCGCTGGTCACCTTGCAGGTGGAGGATACAGGATTCGGTGGGTGGTTTAAGTATAGTTTCGGAGTACACATTTCTAACACCTGCTTCCACAGCAAAGAACGTCTTTGTGCAAATCAACAGATACCTGCAACAGCTGTCCGAGCCGGACGCCGAAGATTTTGATCAAACTGCGGCACTGATCGGGCGTCTTATGGCCCGCCGTAAGAACTCCTTTCGAAATATGCCCGGATTTCGGTCCGTATGCAAGCTCAACACGGCGCTCTGTCGTCTGCTGCGTCTGGATCTGCCCCGTGAGCTGGAACACTTTCGCGGTGCCCTGCCCGATGTGTGCGACGGCGAATTGGCGGGAGTCATGCCTACCCGCAGCAGTTTTGAGTACATTTTGGTGCGACTGCTCGGCTTTTATCACCTGCATGCCCGCATCCGGGAGTGCTGTGTGACAGCGGCCAGATATTTCACTCCATTGCTGAGGAACAACTTCTTTATGGAGACGCTCACGTTGCTCATAGCAGCATTAGCCAAGATCAACAAACTGAGCACGCTGCAGGCCAACAGAAGTGCCAGTCTCTACAACAACTTGCGGCCACTCTCCCTTAAATTTCCGGAGGTGGAAAGGCACAAGTTTGTGCCCGAAAACTGCGAGTTGCCTGCCCAGCTTCAACGGCTTGTTGCCACCACACAAAAGCAAACAGAATATGATGCCAGTGCTCCTGCTGTGATGCTGAAATCTCCTATCGTGGTCACAAAAGTGGAGAAGGCCAGGCTGGAGGCCAAATCGGACGTGGGCACTGTGGTTGCTCGGAAGGATTTACCGCCGCTTGCACAAAACGCCAAGACTGAATTCAACCTGGAAACGCTACGTAGTGTCGAGGACGTGAAGCGTTTCATTGCCCGCGAATCAAAGGCCAGACAGCAGAGCTCCGTACCAAAGAGCTGCGTCACCAAGGCCATACCCAAGCACGAGTGGCTGGGAGCCCAAACGCTCTTCCAGCGCAAGGCTACCAAGGATCCAGCCAAGGCGTTGAGCGTGTTTCGCAAGTTTATTATTAGTAAGATATAATACAAAAAAGAGCAAAATATGTTTCATTATAGAGGCGTGAGAATGCCGTCGGCCAACTGGTAGCGTTGAAGACGCACAATTTGTTTATGTGAATGAGGAATTTTTTGCTGTGGAGGGGAGGACACATATGATGGTAAACACATTCAGTTATCTCGATCAACGTTACTTACCTTAACAAAGTTTTTAAAGTTCTTGCGGCCGCTGTACTTGCTCACAGAATCATCCGGAGCGGCATCCACATCATCATGGGAGCGAGCGCTGATGTTAAGGGATTTGGTGTGCACCAGAATGTTGTCCACAAAGGAAGCATACCACTTTTTATCATCAATATCGGTCTCTTCTTTAATGGACTGATCCAGATTGACTTCATCTCCAACTGGAGCTGTTTCCATGGTTACGCTCATATTCGACTCTGACTTGGTCTTGTTATGTAGCCTGCTACATGACAGAAAACCACTGGTATTCACCATACGGGGCAGCCCACTTTTTGGTTTAGGCACAACGTATTTGGATTTTGGTTCTTCCATCACATCGGGCTTGAAGGGCTCTGTCAGCACATTGTCCTGATCCTGATCCTGATCTTCAGCGTCTGCCTCGCTTTGATTTTGGGAATGGAAGTTGAACAAACCGTCGTTGGAGTCTTCATTCGCCTGCTCCGCGCTTTTCTTATTTTTCTTCTTACTGTCTGCAAATTTGAACAGATTGTCGCAGTCATCGCTGTCGCTTTCGTTGAGTAGCTCCAGACGCAAACGCTTGCGAGGCTGCGTCTGAGACTGCGACTGTGAGGCTTGAGGAGGTACACTCTCTTGGAGCTGCAATTTTTCCAGAAAGTTTATGACCCTAATTCTTGCAGGCGGATTTCCGGTCTTTCCCGAAGAGTTGGATTGAACACCAGTTCCGGCAGGCTTCTGAGGTTGTACCTCTTGTGTTTTTTTTGTGAATTGGAAGAGGGGCGTGTCATCCTCATCATCAGACTCAACGGCCACAGACAAAGTTGCCTTCGCTGTGCCGCGAGTGGAACGTCTGGGAGATTCCAATTTCTCCTCCGACTGCTGATTGTTTTCTACATTTTCAGAGTTTGCTTTGTCGCGTGTCGACTGTCTTGTGGCAGCTTTGGCCGCAGTCCCGGAATGATTGTTTTCCTCATCGGAAGAATCCACCAATATGGGATTATTTTTATTCGGCTTTGACCTCTCTGTGGGCACTTCCATCGATCTTTGTTTTTTGGGTTCCTCTTGCTCCTCGTCCGAGGAGTCGACAATTATGGGGCGACCCCGTTTTCGTTGTCTACTCTTAGGTACTTGCGGTTCTGTTTCGGGCTTATCGCTTTCCGGCTCCATCTTATAGACATCCGACTCGGGCACTACAAGTTCTGAGACTGGATCAGAAGTGGCGGCCTCGCTACGCTCTGTATTCGGCACCAGAACAGAGCAATTGAATGACGAAGTCATAGACTCCGTAGTGGGCATCGAATCGCCACTTAGCTTGTGCGATGGATTACAAAACTCTTTGGTCGAGCAATGCAGCAGGGCCATGCCAATTTCAAACTCTTGAATAATGCGCAAGCCGGCCTGTTCCAAGAGATCTGAAATTAAACGATAAGTTATTGCATATTCCATGATGGAAAAGACTCGAGGGAAAACATACCCTGAATGCTTTGGATCGTTTCCGTTGACTGCGACTGCGTTGAAGGCACATATTGAATCACGATGACATCCTTCTTTGTGAGAAACGTTTTGCGAACTCCCGAATTGAGATCCTTGCATAATGCGCCTGCCTTTCTTACAATTGCGCCGTAGATCTCAAAGTGCCTGCGATTCATAAAGACGAACGTCTTGTCCGCGAACAAGGTGGTGCGTTCGGGACGCCAAGTCAGGTCCATGTTCGTGGGCTTGTAGTCTTCAGGCTGCGGCCAGCCTTGACGTACGTGAATGCTTTGCGCTGCCGCCAGCAGCTTGCGCCAATATTCGAAGGTCACAATGGGTTTGTTCTCCAACAAGGCATGCAGCAGCTTCACGGTGACTGTGGCCTCGTTCATGGTCAGATGTGTGCACTCGTCTCCCCAGTTTGCACTCACAGAGCCGCCCATTGATCCAAGGATCGTAGCCAGCTCCAACACTTGATCGTTTGGCATCGCAGATGCAGCGCTCACCAGTTTCATCTGCGTTACCTGCCAAATGTTAGTGCTGCCGCCAAAGCGAACCTTAAACCCGACTGGCAGGGGCGTCAATGTGTTTGGGGCCATCTTCTTGTTTCTGGCAATGTCGTTGTTGAGGAAGGTACCGTATTTGGAGCCCACATCTGCTATTTGAAGCACCCCATTCGTCTCACTAGGCAGGTGCACGCGCACATGAGTGCGGCTGATGCTAAGGTCCTCCAGCAGAATCAGATCGGTTGACAAGCGACCGACCGTGTAGACGGGTTTATTTGGCAATAGCACGAACTTCTCATCATCTGCAGATACAATATATTAGAGGAGCCACCATCTATCACGAAATATACTTGCCTTTAGTCAAAATAAACATAATTAATTCAGAAACAAAATTCACGAAATTGACGACCTGGCTAGTGTTGCAAAACGTATCGACATAGATAGTACTATTTATTGCCTGCCGGTTTTGTTTGGAAATAGAAAAAATTGAATATTAACACCAATCTAATGTACTTTGTTAAAATCATTACACCTAACATTACCTTGTAAAATTAATATCACCGAGAACATCATCTTAATGCAACACCGTGCATGCCCTCATCAACAAAACCTTGGAATCATCGAAAAGCAACACCGTGCATGCCCTCCACAACAAATCATCGATAGCACCATACCAACTGAAGTATCTGGTCATTGCAGATTCATCGTCGTGCGACCACTCAATTCGCTTTAGCGATTAAATACCAAAAAAAAAAAAAAAAAATAATTGATAATAAATAGCGATAGAAGTGCTTGCGAACGGCTGCGAAAATGTCCCACTTTAGCAGCACACGCGTCAGCTCCTTCAACGAATGCTTCCTTAACGAGAATGAGCAGGACCCGAATGCCGTGCTCATGGAGCTCGACAAGGGACTACGCAGCGCCAAGCAGGGCATTCAATGCGAGTCCATTGTACGCTTTCCGCGCCTCTTCGAGAAGTATCCATTTCCCATTCTGATAAACTCGTCGTTCATCAAGTTGGCGGAGTTCTTCGTTAGTGGCTCAAATCTGTTGCGCTTCTGGGTGCTCCGCGTCTGCCAGCAAAGCGAGAACCACCTGGACAAGATCCTCAACATCGACAACTTTGTGCGCCGCATATTTATGGTGATGCACTCGAACGATCCGGTGGCACGTGCCCTGCTCCTGCGCACCCTGGGCGCCGTCTCCCGCGTGATCCCCGAGAAGCAGCAAGTGCACCATGCCATACGTCGTGCGCTCGACAGCCACGACACCGTCGAGGTGGAGGCTGCCATCTATGCCAGCAGCTGTTTTGCCGCCCAGTCCAGCTCCTTCGCCATCAGCATGTGCGCCAAGATCTCGGACATGATCGAGTCGCTGCAGGTGCCAGTGCCCATGAAGCTGCTGCTCATCCCAGTGCTGCGGCACATGCACCACGATGCCAATACGGCCGCACTGGTCAACAAACTCTGCATGGATCTGCTGCCCAAGTATCCGGCGCAGAGTTTTGTGGTGGCCATCATCGATACCCTTACACAACTGTCCGCCCGCACCCTGGTTGGCGTGCCCGGCCAGCTCGAGGTGTTGCTGGACTTTATGCAGGACTTGCGGACGCCGGTTCGCATCCAGGTGCTGCGCTCCTTCAACGAACTGGCCGGCAAAAAGAGTGTCCACGCCTGGCCCAAGCCTGCCCTGGCAGCGCTGATTGGCAAATTCGATGCCTGCATCAACTCCCACGAGCAATTTCTCTTCCTGTCGATTCTCGCCAAGTTGAGCGAGTGTCCGCTCACGTGCCAGCAGCTTATGCGCGAGCACCGGGTCGCCCTGCTCCGACTCTGCATTCAGAGCATGAGCAAGCTGGACGACTACACGACGGCCACTCAGGCCATGGCGGTGCTCTCGGTGCTGGCAGCCTTTGGCACACAGCAGGAGAGCCAAGTGGATGATATCCTGCATACTGTAAGTCTACACATCGAAGGCCTGCTCCTCTGCACGGCCAGGCGAGCCGACTGCCTGCGTCACTTGCGACGTGTGCTGGCCTACGGCATAAGGATTAGCCAGGCAAATGCCGAATTTGGAGCTTCATTCATTGAGATTGTTAGCAATACGCTGGGTGACAATGTCGTCTATCCACAAGCCAATGCGGAGCTCATATGCGAGGCTCTGGTGCGTCTCTGTGAGCATTTCCAGCTGCGTAAATATGCATTTACCACCTCCGAGGGCCTCGAGGAAGGAGACGATAATGCCATGGACACCGACGAGCCCCCACCACCAAAGGTAGAGAGGTATACAGGAAATGAATGCGAAACATCCACTAATTCTATGCCAATTTTAGGTCAATCCCATGCTAGCCAGAATGCCGATAATCCTGCACAAGCTGAACAAGCTGATCGACTCGGAGGATGCGGAAAAACACTTGAGAACAATTGAAATCCTCAGTGTCCTGGTATTTCAGACCACCATGGGCTGTTATCTGCCCCTGAAGGTTGTGCAGTGCTTCGAGAAGTGCCTGGACAAGCTCAATTGCTGGACATTGTACAAGATAGCACGGAGCGCGAGTCGCTATGGGCATCACTATGTGGCCGCGCACATTTACACGAGCATTTCCGAGATCGTGATAAATGACCAAATGCACTACTTCCTGGTGACACTCTCGCAGGTCTCGCAGGCAGAGTGCATCCTCAACTATGGCCTAGACTACGCGCACATGAGAGACAACTATGCGCCTACAGCGGCGCCAGAGCCGTTGATACCGCTGATGAAGCGGCTGGAGGCAGCCTGTAATCTTTACCAGATGGCTCGGGTCAGTCTGCGGGCCTGTTCCTCGATCCAGTATGCGATCTCCTTTCCGCAGGAGTACCTCAAGATCCGAGCGCAGTTCCTGCAGACGCTGCACTTGGCGGTGACCGTAAAGAATGCCCAGGTTATTGTCCCGCCGCCGGCAATTGCTGGCAGCTTGGCCCAGAACTCGCGGGACTATTTGCAAAAGTTTGGACACGTCACAAATCAGCTGCGCAAGCTGGTCAAGTCGTTGAAGGCCTGCGAGGAGACGCATGCCCGTCTGTATAAGTCGTCCTTTGATGCGGACAACGTGACACTGGAGTTCCTGGAGGTGGCCGAGTTCCAGTGTGCGCTCTTTGCGCACATCATTGAGTCGATTTGTTATGCCACGCCGCCGGAGCCACCGGTCTTTTTGACCACCGGCGAGCACCCGGAGACGCGGTTCTTTGCCGCCAGCTGCAGGCGCATGGAGCTGATGCACAAGAACCTGCCCGAGGAGCTGCCCAACGCGAAGACCATCAGCAACCGTCATCTGGACGTGATTGTTGCCCAAATCGAGATAATTACCAAGACGCCACTCTGCCTGCCGCGTTATTTCTTCCAGATTCTACAGTCCACGCAGATCAAGCTGTCGGTCAGTCCACAGCCACGCAGCGCCACCGAGCCCGTCAACGTTCAGTCGGGTAGTAATCTGGTGATCAAGGTGGAGGGCGTCCTGCAACAGGCTGGCTCCAAGCAGGTCAAGCACTTCCGGCGTGTCGAGTCCGTGCAGTTGAGTCTTACGTCCCAGCTGGTAACGCCGCCACCACGTTCCGGCAACGAGCTACAGAAGCCCGGTACCAGTGACACCGTCACACTCAATCAGATCGTTAAGCCGCAACGCGACTTTCTCTCCGGCAGCTTTCTGCTGCCCATATCGAGCGGTGGTCACTTCCAGGTGACGCTGGAAACGTTCGTCGTCGACGAGCATGGTACTATTTGGTGTACTGGCCCCAAATCCTCTATGATGGTCCGTGTCCTAGAGGATCCCTCAAAACCTGCAGCGCCAACGCCCAGCACTTCGCAGGCAGTGGGTCAGGCGAGGAGGTTTTAGATGTACAATTAGGTTGAAATATTTGATATAATTAAAAAGCTTAATGCTTGAAAACCCCTTGACTTGCGGTTAACAATAAGTATCCAATTATTTATTCAACAAATGTTTTATCCCGAGACACCTTGCTTGGCGCGCCACTATTCAAATAAACAAAGCCAGTGCTGTTAAACCATAATTCATAATTATATTACGTATCGTAGCGTAAAATTGACATATCGATTACTTTGGCTGTTATCGAATACTGCTGGTGTTTTGTTTTTGTTAGTTCTTTTGGCGAATAAAATAAACGAAATGGAGCATTTCTTGAGGGGATGCGGCATTTGACCAGGCGGGCACCAGCAGCGGCATGCCACAGAAGCGCAGCAGAACGATTTGGGTATCTTTATAACGGAGATTCAGATGGTTGAGAGAATCGCCCGAGAGCAAGTGGTTTAGTTCGCCCCCGAAGACGACGAATGTAAATTTTAATTAAAATCAATTAGGCGCACACCCGTAAACACGCACCAAACCAATACTCCGTATGCTTATTTGGAGAGCGAGCACCGCATAGAGCACAAAACTATACGTTGGACGAAATTCCGCGCTTAACCTGTTCAGTCGGTCGTGGTCGTGGCGGTGGTGCAACCAATGGACATAATTGGTCTAATTGGACAGAGCAGCAGAAGCAGCGGAGCACCCCCAGTTACAATAGGATGGCACAATTTACACTGTGAGTATAAGTAGATGACGGTGCATAGTCATCATCGGTTCCCGTTCCGTCCCTAAATGGGGTCGCTACACTACACGCAGTCCACGCAGCCCAAGAATCAGATTACTTTGGTGTTGTTGCGGTCTGTGGCGCGGCTTCCGTCGAATTGAGCTTTGTTTATCTATTGATGGGTAGCCGCGCCGCCACTGCCCCTCGTCGCAGCCATATTATGCAAGTGAAATCGGCGACACGACCGTATCTACCCTACCACTAATACATATATTATGAAATTTCCATTTATTTTGTGGTTTTTGGCATTTGGAACGGCTCGATCAGCTACAACAAACACAATGCGCCGCCCAGCAACGACATTACACGCGTCGACTGCGAGCATGTGCCCCTATGCTCCGCCAACGACGTACAGCTAAGATTCCTGGTGCCCGATGATTTGACCGAGGTGAGTGTGTGTATGTGTGTGTGTGTGTGTGATCCAGTGAGCCGGACCGAAAGATAATCTATATTGCTCTCTCCATCTCCCCCATCTCCCGCTGGGCGTTGCAGGTGCGGCAACTGTGCCAAGAATGGTTTCCAATCGACTATCCACTCTCATGGTATGAGGATATTACCTCAAGCACGCGCTTCTTTGCGCTGGCAGCTGTATATAATCTGGCCATAATTGGTTTAATTGTTGCTGAAATCAAACCGTATCGAAATGTCAATAAGGAGGTAATAGCCAATATGAGTGATAGTGATGAATTGTACACCAGGCTGAGCGGTTTTCCAATGCAGGACAAGGGCATATTGCCCGACTCGATGGGTCGGAACGCGGACGTCGGCTACATATTATCCCTGGGCGTGCATCGGTCACATAGACGCAATGGGATTGGCTCGCTGCTGCTGGATGCCCTCATGAACCACCTGACGACGGTCGAACGGCACTCGGTGAAGGCAATCTTCCTGCACACGCTGACCACCAACCAACCTGCCATATTTTTCTATGAAAAGCGAAGGTAAGTCATCCACTCCATACATCCCCGCACCAGACACGGAGCAGAGCTTGCGTGTTTGCCGCTTATTAACCCTTTGCCCTTCCTCCCTCCTTTTAGATTCACGCTACACTCGTTCCTGCCCTACTACTACAACATACGGGGCAAGGGCAAGGACGGCTTCACCTACGTGAACTACATTAACGGAGGCCATCCGCCTTGGACACTACTATATCCTTTTTCAAAATGCTTTTACTTTATTGCTTGTTTGATTCTTATGTTTATGGTTTCGCTGTACTTTTGGTTGCCCTCTTAACTCTTGCCACACAGATCACATCAAGCACTACGCCTCCAAGGTGCGTCACACCAGCACCCTCTGCGTGTGGATGGCTTCCCGTGTGCAGCAGGTGGTGCGTTGGTTCTACCACAAGCTGCTGATGCGCTTCAATTTTATTGAATGAGAAGGAAAGGACCAAGGACTGACTGCAGCACGACTGGACAACCCCACAAATCACAAAACGGCATTCTTCCGAGTCACAAAAACAAACAAACACTTTTAATTCTGATTTTGAGTCGATGCATAGCATTATGTTATGTCATTCTGCTGAGCATGTTTAACGACCCCCCACATACAAGAACATATATATATATATAATTGCACAGAAACACACACACACACACACACACCCTCATATACACCTTCATTATAAATGTTAGGCAATACCCCTTCTGCAGATCATTTCGTTTTTATACAAAAGAGAGAATAACTAGAAAACAACAACAAGAGTTGAGCATAAGTTGAAAGATGTAAAGATAATTTTATATGTGTATTATTACGTTTTAAATGATATTTGTTCACTGCTGTAAATAGTCTTTATGATGTTTAGACGCTGTAACTGTTTGCCCATGGTGGCGCGCAAGTGATTTTGATACTTTTTGTTGGACATATTCCATGTATGCTATATTTAATGACTGTATGTAGTATGTATGTTTCCTTGTACGTTTATAATTTTCTTTATTTTTTTTGTTTGTTAAGTTCCACGCACAAGACAAGTCATTTATATTAGCGAAAATTCAACACAACAAAGATGCTCATGCTTTAATGCTAAATTTATGGAATCTGCACGAAAATAGCTTTGAACGGAGAATGAGAAACGAATACTATCTACAAAACAACAACACCCAACAACACAAAATCACTTTCAAAACTCTGTTCGCTGTTTCTATAGTATTTTGTAAAAGTATTTTAATGCAACTTGTTTCGCAGCTAATTCATATTATTTTAGGCACAATTTATTTAGCAAATTGTAATATTTTTAAAATAAAAACTTGTAAAGTTATGAAATGAAATTTGATTTAGTTCTGCAACTGAATTTTTGAATATTTGAATCCCCCGCCTAGAGCAACAGTGATGTAAGACCAGACAGAGCATGAAAGAGTGCTGGGAAACGACTTCTTTATATGAATCGGACATGAATGACTACGGTATATTTTGAAAATAAGAAGGCATATTTCGGGTTGTTTCTGAGGTTCTCAAATCGTGGTGGTTTTTCAAAATTTGCTCTCTTTTCCGTGGTGAAGAGGTGTTTCGTAAGTAAAGAGGAGGATGGAGCTACAAGGAGTCTTTACAAACAGTCTTATTTTCCGCGGTTTAACAAAGGATGCTCATCTTTTTAAATATAGGGGTGTTAAGTGGGTTAGGTCTCGTTCGATAGCCGGATTGCCGGTATAGTATTTAAATGGTATTTCTCGAAACTGAGTTGGTATTTAAAGGTATTTATTTTTTGGCAGGGTGGTATTTTTTATCGTTATCGTCACGCATCCCTGGCTTAACCTGTCATAGGCGATTTAATTTAGCAAATTCGTCGCAACAGCCAAAAAATGTTCTCCAGAGCTGCCCTACTTACAGGTAAACCTCAGAAATAATGCAAAACGCCACAAAACTCGCGACAAAGTATAGTTTAATCGGTGTGTGCATAATAAGCCGCTGCACGCGACCGTGAAAATTGTTACGGCACCGCAAAAACGACGGACATCGTGGTTTATGTAATCACATCACATCACCCACCTCCCAGTGCAAACGTAGAATTATGTATAGTTTTCGCAAACGTTCTTGCAAGTGGTAAACATATCAATATGAAAAAACTAATTGGTCTCAATCGTCTTGCAGCCCAGCGCCCACTGACCGTGGCCGCCACTCGGTCGGCCGCCGCAGCTGCTCAGTCTGGCAGCGGCTCCATCGAGCGTCGCCAGCGTCCCGAACATCCCGGCAAGGTGCGCCTGGGCTTTGTGCCAGAGGAATGGTTCCAGTTCTTCTACAACAAGACCGGTGTCACCGGTCCCTACACATTCGGAGTGGGTCTGATCACCTACCTGTGCTCCAAGGAAATCTACGTCATGGAGCACGAATACTACAGCGGCCTGTCGCTGGGCATCATGGCCATTATTGCTGTGAAGAAACTTGGCCCAGTGATTGCCAAGTGGGCTGATGGTGAGATCGATGTAAGTCTGAGGCAATCAAATATCAAACTGTAAAAACAGGAAGATTAATCCCTAAATTGCTGTAGAAAATCGAAAGCGAGTGGAAGGAGGGCCGCGAGGGTGAGCTCAAGGTTCTGGCCGATGCCATCGAGGCTGAGAAGAAGGAGCAGTGGCGCGCCGATGGTGCCTTGCTCTTGATGGATGCCAAGAAGGAGAACATTGCATTGCAGCTGGAGGCCGCATTCCGCGAGCGCGCCATGAACGTCTACTCCGAGGTCAAGCGTCGCTTGGACTATCAGGTGGAGTGCCGCCACGTTGAGCGTCGCCTCAGCCAGAAGCACATGGTCAACTGGATCACCACCAATGTGCTGGCCAGCATCTCGCCCCAGCAGGAGAAGGAGACTCTCAACAAGTGCATTGCCGATCTGAGCGCCCTCGCTCTGCGCGTCAAGTCCGCCTAAACGACTCGAGTTTTAGTTGCTAAATTGTAAATTTAAACAAAGTCGAGACGCAGGAAACAAACAACAAACCATTACAATGCCCGCACGATGATACACATATATCTACTACACGCAATACATGCTCTGTGTCCGAATAACATTCTTTATGAAATTGTCGTTTAGTTCAAGAAATGGATGCTGTTTAACATTAATCTCTTTTGTTCATGATTATGTATGTAGACACTGCCCCACAATTCCCTATTTCGCTTATGTTTAGTTATCAGTCTACTGCTGCACTGGCATCGTTCTCATCCAAGGCATCCGTGTTCTCCTGATCCTGCTCCACCTCGAACTCGGCTTGAATATTCTGGCGGTGTGCGGCATGCAAATTCTGGATACAGTAATCCACCGCCGTGATCACGCAGAGCGGTCGCTCTCCCTTGTAGTAGCCGGTGTTCTCCCGCAGATACGTCACTCGCTTCGAAGTCAGCCACTGTTGGAGCTCCACGAAGCAGGTGCACTGCCAGGGATTCCCCTCAATCGCAATGCGATTCAGGCTGGGGAAGGTGCCGTTCAAGGCAGTCAAAAAGGTGAGTCTGTTGTTGTCGATGAGTAGCTCCATGACACTGCTCAGACAGTCCATCACATCGGTGCTGATCTCCTCCAGCCAGTTGTGACCCAAATGCAGTTTCTGCAGATGCCGCATGGGCGCAAACATGCGCACGTCCAGGGATGCCAGTTCATTGTGCCCCAGCGACAGGTACTCCAAAAAGGGCAGCGAGGAGAAGGCCAGCGGATGCAGACGCTTCAAGCGATTGGCATTCAGGTTAAGCTTGCGCAGTCGCGTCAATGTGTTGCCCCCAAAGGCCTGTTCCTCGAAGTACTCCAGGCTGTTGCGCGACAGATCCAACGTGTCCAGGTTGGCCAATGCCGCAAATGCGCCCGGTTTGATCTCCAGTATAGCGTTGGACTGCAGATACAGCTTGCGCAGTGACCCCAGGCCCACAAAGTGGCCGCTGCCCAGGCTGGCAATGCTATTCCTGGACAAATCCAACACCTGCAGTCTGGGCAACACTCTGAACTGGTTGTCGAACAGCAGTCGTATGTGGTTGCCAGCCAGATCCAGCTGCTGCAGATTCAGCACAAAGTTCTGGGCCGCTCCGAAAACATTGGGACGCAGTGCGTCGAGTGCATTGTGGGAGAGGTTCAGCACTCGCAGCTGGTTGAGCGGCAGAAAGGTTTCCTGGGCAATAAAGGTCAATTGGTTGCCACTGAGCTGCAGCTCCACTAGACCATGCAGACCGCGAAAAGCACTCACATCCAACTGGAAAGGAAAGTTCATGTAGGTAGTTAGGGTAGCAAGTGACTTGGGACTGATTCCTAGAACCCTCTCTTCTAGGCGTAGAGGCACCTCTCCAGGCCAAGGGGCATCACGGGTAATTGACTAATTCAAATCCCACAGCTAAGTACACAAATGACAGGCGGATGCGTTCGACTCGGTGAGCGAATCCACCAGTTTCTGCTGACTCACCTGTCCGAGGCGATTCTCGTGGAGCATCAGCTGCTGCAATTGGGGGCAGACACCGAAGCTGACATTAACCAGTCGATTGTGGCCAAGTTCCAGGCGATTGAGCAGCGGTAAGTGGGGCAGCTCGCAGCCGGTCAGGGCATTGTGTGAGAAATTGGCGTAAATCAATTTGCGCAAATTGCCCAAGACATCCTTTGGGAGCAGCTCCAGGCGATTGTGGCTGGCATCGAGCTGCTGCAGCGCTGACTCAACCGCAAAGTGGCTGCCATGGAGCTCGCCCAGACCGCATCCACTGATGTTCAAGTGACGCAGATTGGGCAGCGCGGAGAAGCCCTGAGTGTGTAGATTCAGTTGCTGGACGGCGGATAGATCCAAGTCGACCAAATTGGCCAAATAATCGACACTTGTGTCTGCAGGGGAAAGCAATGAGATGTCTGCGTGTGTGTGTGTGGGTCTACCTATCCGCAAGAGTCTCTTACCCGAGTCCAGATCCAGTTCTGTGCGTTCATTTCGCACTGCAAGTGAATGCCAGTTCTTGGCCCCCTCCACATCGAGCAGATCCTGCAGACTGGCTAATTCACGACACTCGAAGCTACGCCAGGCGAGAGGCTGGCAGGGTAGAGCCCCGACCTGGGGGAAGCCCCTGCTGCAGCAGAGCCACAGTACGGACAGAACCCAATTGGCATTCACCAACATTCCTGCTCCACAGTTTGGCCACAACTGAAAGCCAAGCCCCATCCAAGCGTTGATAAGAACAAACCGCAGCATGCAAATCCAGTTTACTCAGAGAGCTCAGCCCAGTCAGGGGAGAGTCCAAGCCGGTTTGGCGCGTCATCGCTCAGGGGCCGGACACTCCACACAGCTGAGTGTCGTCTGGGAAGGAGGATGGATGGATGGATGGATGGAAACTACTCTTTTGTTTATATTTCTCTATCGATAGATACTTTCTATAACTTTTTAATAGGCTTAGCAAGTTGTTTTACATACAGTACGGTACATACGATAGGTATATAATATTTGGGTTTACATAATAAGGTTTTTTTATTTTGGATAATTACTTTACGATTATGCTGGTATTTATTGTGCTCTTGGTGGAAGAAAAATATCTGATTGTGTGTGTCTGTTATTTTCTTGCCACTCTCATTTCCCCATGCTGCGAGTCGTACATACATACATATAATATACAAAATTCAAGGAAGTAAAACGAGCGGTAAAAATCATTCTAACTTAGACTAAAACTTAGGCAACAAAATTAACAATAAGAAGTTGGTATCTAATATCTGTTTAAGATCTGTTTAAGAGTATACATCTAATATAATAATAATATATAATATATATAATAAGTATTCCACTAATCGCACAGGTTTCTGTTTCCGTTTCTATATTTGTGCTTATATCTTCTCTCGTTTAACTGGAGGGAGGCTCTTCGAATTGCCGAAATTGGAAGCCACAAACTAAGCCAGCATCGGTCTTACTTTATATATTGAAGCAAAGGATGTACCTATACATATATGTATATGGGTTATTATTCAAGTATATTTGAGTGTATCCATCCATTTATATAAAACCCAACCTACATATGGTAAGCATCAAGAGTCATAATCACTCCCTACTCTCTATATTGTAAATGGTTTCTGTTTTGGAGCTGTAATTGATTTTGGGGGGTGGTGGCGAAGAATCCTGGTATCTAAATCAGACTATAGTTACGGTTGGGCTTGTCATCTTGTTGCTGTTGTACAACGGCTGATAGTGTGCACTCGCCCCGTGGTGTCCATTGCTCGCCTTCATCTTGGCGCTCTGGCAGCCATTCGGATACCGCATCTTGACCCCATTCGGTGCATGGGGATGCTGGCTCTGCGCGGCTACGGATCCAGGCAACGACAGCGACGATGACGATGACTTACAGCTGCCATTCTGCAGGGGTAGGGGTAGAGGATCCCCGATCAAGGTTATGCGCACGGGCTTGTAGCTGTTGGCACTGGGCGTGGCCGCCTCCGCCGTGTCCCAACCGATGGAAGCGCGTCGCGGCGTGCCCGGATAGGAGGCAGCTGCAGCCAGCTGCTGATTGTAGTTGGTCAGCGTCGTGGAGATGATGGTGTGGCGGCGGGTCTGGCTCAGAGTGGGACACTGACTATTGTTGGCGCCCGTAGATGTGGGCGTGGGCTGCTCCCTCTCCTGGTGGTGGCTCTGGTGATGGCGAATGATGGTGGTGGCGGCCAGCGTGGAGTCGTGCAAATGGAGCATCGGAAAGTGTGTGGTATAACTGGTATATTCGGGCTTACTTCTGCGAACAGAGAGGGCAGAATTAGTGTGTTATTTCCAGTTGATTTCTTGATTAATTGAAAGAATTTCTTTGTTTTGAATATGCCATACGAGTTGTCTACGCAACGAAGAGAAGAGTCGATGGCAGGTGGACATGGTTTGGAGTTTGACTTGGGATATCCATCAATGGCATCAATGGATGGGCATACTTTGTGCTGCTGCCACTCCCCTTTCCGACTGCCATTCCTTCTCCTCTCAACGCATTTTTGGGTTAGTTTCTGGTTTGCTTTACCTTGGGACTCTATTTAATTGCCGCATGCAATCAAAATGTTTCACAAACAGTGTTAAATTTTCAGTGACAATTAGTAACGATTAACGATTGGCTTAGAGCACTAGCTACGGGCTAACTTTCGGCTATAATGTAACTATATCTTAGATAGATTAAATCTTAGTTTTGCACTGCTTAGTTTTAATTTTAGTTTTTTCTCTTAGTTTAGTTAGCGCTTAATGAATGATTATTTCAATTGCATGAATTACAATTATCCAGACAGTTATCGCTTAGGTGTAGGATACATAACAGATTGATGGCACAGAGCACAATGATGGCTAGAATGAAATCACAAAATAATACCTGTGGCTCCCCGAATTGTAGTCTATATACATATATATATATATATATATTGGAATGCATAGTGGAGGGGAGAGTGTGGAGAGTGTGGTTAGATGTGTAAGTGTTTTTTTTTTTGTTTTGTTTTGTTTTATTTTGTTGAGGGATGTGTATTCCATGGAAGGCATTACAAAAGAGAGTGTAGAAGAGACAGAGAGAGAGATTCACATTGGTTAATCATGGGTTAAGGCATTGCGAATGGGGTCTAAAGTGGGTCTATTGTTAGTCAATTGCAAAATGCAAAAATTCCACCTCCTGCTGCTGCTGCTGCTGTTTCGGCACTCGGCTTTCGGCTTTGGCTACTGCTGGCTGAATTCAGTCTAATTAGACTGCTCCAATTGCAATTTGTTGCCATTAACGTCAACAGGCGGCAGGAAAGTGGCCAAGCTGATTTGCATGCCACCAACGGACCATGAAGCTGAAGCTGTAGCTGAGACTGCAAGCCACCATTAAAGTAGCAGCAACAGCAACTGCAGCAACTGCAGCAACAGCAGGCAACGTTTTGTATTAGTTTTGTTAAGCTGCGGCCTGTGCCTGCCGCAGCTTGCGGCTTTTGTGGTCTGATGAAAAGCCCCAAAATTACGAGCCACCAGTAATACACCAAAAATTACACAAAAAATTAACCAAAAAAATATAAACGAAAATTGAAATTGAAAATCGAAAAGATAGAGAGATGAAAGGATGGAAAAACATGAATGTCTGGATATGGATGCCTACCTGGACAAACCCTCCGCACCAATGGCAAGTGGTCGTGTCTGTGAAAGTGGAATCGGAATTGGAAATAGAAATATACGATAGCTTTTGGTTAGTCAATTTGTTTTTGTTTTTGTGCAACACACACACATATTATTATTATCTATGCATAGAGGGGGTGGAGGGTGCTTACCCGCTCCGTCTGGGTGGCCATGCTGATGAGCTCCTTGCTGGCATCAGTGGCATTGCTGGCATTGCCGCCGGCCTGTTGCCGCTTCTCGGCCTCCAATTGCTCAATGAGATCGCGCTGCAGGCGTATGGTGCGATCACGATCATCGACTTGACCCTGCCACACACACACACACACACACATAGAGAAATAGAAAGAGAGAGATACGTAAATGTCAGATTCACTGTTGTGGAGCGAGGCATAAAAGGTCACTAGGCAGCAGATACAAGAAACTAAGCCAGAGAGTGTTCAAAAATCATATCTATACGAGTACGAGTACGAGTACGAGTATAAATTGCCAGGCATTATTGCTTGGCTTTTATTTTGGGACAGTCATGCTTTGATTGTTGCATTGTTTCAAGTGCCAATCCAAAGCATATCTATCACTCAATCACAACAACAGCTAAAGATATATATGTATAAGACTGTAAACTCTGTGAACTTTAAACTGCAAACTGCAAACTGCAAACTTCAAACTGTATGCTGTATGCCTGTAGTATGTCTGTATGTATGTGTGTTCTCAGTGTCAAAATCAAAGTGCGGTATAGCATTATGTAGGTACGAGTATATAATTTAATAGATTTACAAATAAGCAAATAGTTATGTTATGTATACTGAGTATTCCTTCTGGATTTTGTACATGCCACATGGAGTATAGAATAAAATAATTTCCATGTATCTAATAAACATTTAAGAACAACAGCAATAGATATAGATAGATAAATAGTGAGAGTGTCCTGCTTTTGCTTTACGTTTACTTTATTTTAGTTTTTGATTTTTTTGTGGTTTTGTGGCGTGTTGTCCAGTGGTCTAACGATCGGGCGAACGAAATGCAAAAAACGTGCAAATACCTGAAGGTAAACCACCTGTCTACGTAGATCCGTTAATTCCTGCAATGGATCCTCCGTCGTGGACGAGGTGAGGCTGGCCAAGTCGATGTCGTTCAGCTGCTTGCTGTCCAGTCCACAGGCGGCAAACAATTGAAGATTGTCATTCTCGAAGGGATTGAGGGTTTCCGTCTGCAAAATAAATGTTTCATGAGACTGTCACTCAGGTATGAGGCGAGGTATTCCCCGACTGAAATGAAACCCCAAATAAAGATGGGATATGGAACGTACCCTTTTCAAATCAAAATCAGACTCCTAAGAGGCGTGCAAGTGGATCGAGTGTTTTGTGGTTGATTGTTGGGTGTGTGTGTGTGTGTGTGCCATGAATGAAATGGAAATGAAATCCTTAAGCAGCTCTACAGAGCAATGGCAGCTGCCCCACTCACCTCTTGGAGGATGCGCCGCAGGCGGAGTAGCTGCTTCTTGAACTGCAGCACATCCTGGATCATGGCATTCCGGAAGGACTTGTCATACAACATCAGATCGTCCGATGAGCTATGCAGCTCGCCGCTACCCAGCCCGCGCACTCGTAGGCCACCCGGGGCGGTGCCACCACCTGGTTGCTGCCTCTGCGGCTGGCGCTGGCGCGGCAGACTGGACGTGGACGAGGCCGTGGAGGCGCGTGAATTGGCCGTGCTCCTTTTGCGCACAGCCGCTGCAGCACCTCCGCTGTGGCTGGATCTCAGGCTGTTGTCCGAATCGTGGCCGGTCAGCTGCTGGTCCTGCAGCCGGGAGCGATTGAGCAGCCGTGTGGCACGGGCGGGCAGTTGGGCGCTGAAAAGAGGAACAGGCATGAGTAAGGAGCAAGAATGACTAAGAAGTTCTGTTGATTCAAGAGGCTGGGGAGTGGAGCTCCACCTGTGATATGTTTCGTTTGGCTGCGGCGCACTGCTTGCCACAAACGGTGGCGCACAGTTGGGTGGATAATAATGATGATGATGATGCTGACGAGGCTGATGGCTTTTGATGGCCATGGGTGAGGTTTTTCGGGCTGGTCTGCCCTGGTTGCCCTGTTGCCCCGCGAGGAATACATTCTCCGATGTCTTCAGATCGGTGCGGACGCGACGCACTCCCTTGGGCGATGATTTGCTGGCCGTCGTATCCGCCGCCGCCGCCTCAGACATATTCCACGAATCGAATTTCTGTTTCTAGCTGGAATTCATAGCCACCAGCAATGACACAATCGGGACATGCGCAGACCCCCGAACAGCTGTGTGGAGACTTTGTCGAGTCACCCCCTGGCTGGCCTGCAGTGTGAGGGGTTGCTAGGGAGGAGCCTTGGGGTGTTGGCTCACTCTTTTCTTTTCTTTTAATTAGTTTTAGCGCACTTTCAATTAACGTGGCCGCAATGAAAGTGAATGCCATTGATTAGGGCCCCAGTTGGCTGGCAAGGGAACCCAGGCACTCTCTGGCAGGTGGATTATTCAGGCGGCAGTTGTCAATGGGCCATTAAGATACCTCTGACATGAATGCTGCTGCTGCAAATAAATCCAATCCACACTGAAGAGAGGCTCTGCTGCTGCTGATGATGCTGCTGCTGCTCGTGGCTGATAGTGAAAGTCGTGAGGCAACTGTTGCGTGCTGCAGCGGTACTTGGAGATGTGGTTGGGTTGATGGTGGGGCTCTGCTCTCCTCTTACACATGCGCGCAATGTTCAAAAATTTCACGGCATAATTTATACAAACTGTTGAAAAACGTACAGCTATTAATGCCAGCCAACAAACACAAAAAAAAAGGCCATTCATTCGATAGTTTTGTTGGCTCATTCGATTCTCCACGGTGGAATCATCCGACCCAGACCCAGACCCAGGCCCTGACCAAAGGTTAATGGGCTCTTGTCTTTATAATTATTCGGCATTATAATGATATTTCGTATCTATTTCCATTACGATAATGGAATTAATTCGAGTTACGAATCATCACGGATGAATTTCCCAAAAGAAAACCAATTAAAGGAAAGCAAAAGCAGCAGACAGAAACTGGAACGGGAACTGGAACAGACTTTTGGGGAATTGGCAAAACTCTTTTGTTTTAGCTTCAAGATGATCTCCACGAAATGCCCCGAAATGGTCTCTTCTGTGGGGAATGTGGGGCATAAGCAAATTGAAGTTTTTTCTAGAGCTGCAGATGAAAGTGCTGAGAGATGTGAGAGATTTTTTTATGGCAGAAAGTTCCCTTCTATTTTAATAGTTGGTCAGCGCTTCAGCGGGGGGTTCTATGGCAAAATTCTTCTTTTAAATGAATGGAATTCGCAGCATGGATGGATCAGATTTAAGCCGAAGTGAATATGTTTACTGTATCATCGTTTCACTTGGGTAATCGATTGAGTTTTGGTTTCAAAATGAGCCTGAAATCGTAGCCTTAACTGATCCATTTGTAATGCTCAGATTCAACTGATTAAATATCAATAAAACTCAAACATTAGCTCTGACTTGCGTAATGGGCATTGGAGCTGCACTTCTTTGTGGTTTTTGTTCAATTTTGTTGTACAAGTAACCCAAGCAAAAAGGTTCAAATGGATGCACTCCGCGGCTTGCCAAACAAAAAGCAATTATAGTTTACATTATGTCCAAACCATAAAACACACCAAAAAAAAAAACACACACACACACACAGCTGCACTTTCCCAAAGAGCTCCAAAGCACAGAGAGAGAAAGAAATATATTCCACATGTTTTGGGGATTTTCGCACGCCAACTTTATGTTGTTTGTTTTCGAGAGGAGTACAATGAATGCCGTGAATACTCGTGGTATGAATATGAATGTAATCAGTAATCAGGCACGAGGTGGAGAGCCACTGAAGTCAAAACAATGCGAGTATTTTGCACAACTCAATCCCCCGCCCACTTCATCCATTCATTCATTCAATGCAACTCCCGCCACTCCACTGCAGCGCCGGATATTTCGTACTCTGAGGAAAAAAAACCAATTGTCAGACGACAAAATGCTCGTCATTGCAACAGCAGGTGGCAGCAGCAGCAGCAGCAACAAATGGATTTTCCACAGCTCCATTAACACAACATAAAACTAAAAAAAAAAAAAATGGAGCAGGGGTATGGACAGAAGGGAGACTGTTCTTGGAATAAATGTGATCTTTATTGGAATATTCGATTGAAGAGCTATGTGGCACACTAAGCAGGAGGAATACTCGTTTAAATATGGAACCGATAGGCTCACCATTTTTTATTTTATTTAAACAAAAACTTTGGAATTTTCTTAGTTGTTTTCCGAGCTTTCCCCCTTTGTCTACGCACCTGTCCATGCCCAACGCCTGTGTGCAGTTTTGTGTGCATTTATCTGTCTCATTTTGTGAAGACTCCACACGCGCCACTGCCAGCGGCAACGGCAACTGTCGCTAACTTGGCCAACTCCGCGGCTCCGTTGCTGCGGCTGTCTGTCGCGCTGTGTGTGGCGGGGCTGCAACTGTTAACCGCCAACAGGTAACAGCTAACAGGTAAGAGCCAACTGCCTACTGCCATCGGCCAACAATGACAAGCAATCACAATCATGCGGCAATCAGTGGAGCATGGGGCAGTGGCAGGGGCAGGGGCCATCGGCAGAGGCGTTGACATGCACTACTCGAACTTCCACTTCCCCTAACGGCACTTATCAATTTGTGCGACAAAACGTCATTTGTCATAGGAGTCAGATGGGCGGAGATGGAGATGGCGAGAGAGAGAGAGAGGGAGCTTCAGAGATGAAGATCAAGTGTGGTGAGGGGGATACCAAGGTACTCACTCCCCTGAATGAGGCGTAGACAGACAAAGTTATGCTTGCATATATGAAGAGGAAATGGAAATGGAAAGGCAGCTTCATTAGAGCGATACGCAGGATGAGGGGAATGGCGTAATGGGGTAATGGGGGAATGTGGATGGGATGGGGGGTAGAGCACGTAACGCCAGTAATGGTAATGGCCATAAAAAATAAAGAAATAAGCAACATTCTCACACACGGAGACACACACACACACGGAGAGTGGGGAGTAAGTCTCTTCTCGAGTCTCGACTCCCGAGATGGGAATCCGCCGCGGCTGTGTGTATCTGTAGCATGCCACAGCGCAGTTCCTCAGATGATCAACGATGGTTTGTTGTCCGCACTCGGGGAGCCCAAACGGGAGGGATACATTCAGTAGTGTGTGGAGCAGACAGACCGACAGACAGACAGGTAGTTAGGTAGGTAGCAGCAGCAGCAGCTATCTGTATCTTTGTATTTGCACTCGATGGGGCATGGTGGCTGGGGGATGGGGTATGGGGTATGGGCTTGATATGTATTTCTGTGGCTTGGTTTTGTTCTTGGCAAATGTTCTTTCTGTTGAATTATGCATGCCAGCAGCAGTAGGCAGCAGCAGCAGGAAGATGGGAACCGAATCCGTAGGCCCGTAAACCTGAACGCGCCGCAAAATGCAACTGAACTTGAAGTGGCTTCCAAAGCCATAAAAGGGGGCAACCTCCAAGCAGCCCCAAATGGAATGGTGTGTGTGTGTGTGTTTGTGTATCTGATATCTGTAATTGTTACGTTTATGGCATCAAATTCCAAAAAGATTTGTGCCTCTGCCTCTGTCTGCATTTGCATGTGACACACTTTCCAGAGGCATTCACTGTGTGCCCCCACAGCTGAACGAACCCCTGCCACCGGGTTGCATATCAAATTACGCAACGCTTAGAGCGGAAATCATCACCCACTTTGGCTACCACTTGCCAGGGGGCATGGGTATGTATGAGTATCTCTCTCCTCTACCTTTTACTCACTTGAGAGCCAGAGTCCCAGTCCCAGTCGCAGTCTAAACGGAATGGTTTCTTTTATGGATGGATTGGCTGTTCCATTGACACTTGTGCCCGCGGCTTGTCTTTTGTTATAAACGTTGGAAACGTCGGCTGTGGCTGCGATGGCTGCTGCGTTGTCGCTGTGGCATGGAAGAGGCAACAGTGCGTATCGATGGAGGCGACGAATGCCAAAAACCGCCTGGTCTAGCTCTGCGGTCACTGGCTCTTGTTTTGGGGGCCTCTTTGTTGTGTCTCCCACTTTTTGTGGGTCTGGTTTTTGGATATTAACAACGCAATTAATGCTGGGGGCTCCCACGCGTTCCGCACAACCTTTCTTGCACAATTTGTACACACAATCGCAGTGGATTGATGGAACAGAACACAAGCTGATTGCTGCCCGATGGGGATGGGGATGGAGTCTCCACACAAGTACGACGAATATGATTTATTATGCTACAGAGACAGTACCCGTACCGCACCGAAGCACCGAACCGCACGCTTTGAGATCTTGTTTAATACTGAAGTTGAAGTTGGTATCGAAACTGAAGTTGGAGCCACAGCCAGCCAGCCAGCCAGCCAGCCAGTCAGCGCGGAGCTAATGGGAATGGTGTGGAATGGTAGTGATACGAAAAAAACATTGGCGCTACAGTGGAACCAACTAAATAAGCGAGCGTTGAGAATAGTTGTGGTAGAAATCCAACAATTTTCAGACGTCTTTGTAGGACTTGTAGCGAAATATTCTTCTATTGCTTCAATTTCTTGTTCCTTTCTTGTTCCAAACATTTACACACAAATTCCACATTCCACGCCACTGTGCCTCTGTTGGTTGCTGTTGTTGTTACCAATGTTTCGTTGCCACCACGTTCCAGCAGCAACCAACAGGCAGCAGCAAGTGTGGGTCTTCGTCTGCGTCTGGGTCTGGTTCTAGCTCCGTTAGAAATGAAAACTCTCCTGGACGGACAGCCACTGGCATCAGCTCTGCTCCAGCCACAACATTTATGCTGCATTCCGGCTGCAGCGATGGCGATCACAATGGAACCTTGTTATTCTTTTTTTTTCTGCTTCCAGTGCACTTTGTGGCTGAGCGTCGAGAGCCGATAATGGGCGATTGAGTCTGCTGGAGCGATGGCTTACTCAGCAGTTGCCGGTGCGAGAGCGGTTCGAGTGGGTGACTCATGGCTCCACAGTCTCAAGGTTAAGCCACAGTCTCAGCTACAAGTGTGGGCTCCAGTCGCATGGCATATGATTTTGCATATGGCTCTGGTGGATTAGCGAGTGGCTGGCGCTGAATGGATTGTCTGCAGCTGTGCTTTGGGGGCCTTGGGGGTTGTGTTGCCTTCTAATACGAGTATCGGCGCGGATCGCATGGCGAGTGAGGCTGGTGAGTCCAGTGGCAAGTGGCAAGTGGCAAGGAAAGCCAATGTCCCGACGCATGTGCAGCGGCAAGACAACAACTAAAAAAACAAACAACAACAAGAAAACCTGAGAAGGCCAGCGGCATTTTTGCAGTTATTTGGCTCTTGGCTGGGAAAACAGGTTCATGCGAGTATCCCTCTCCCCCCTGATTCCCCATCCCCCCTCTGCACAGCCAGACAATTGATTTTTCCTTGCAGTGCACAAGGCAATGGCATGGCATGGCGGGGCGCAATAAAGTTTTTCCAACTTTAAGGCTAGAGCCAGAAACGACTCCGTCGATGGTTGTCGTGGATGTCGTGCCGTTGCCGGTTGCCGTTGTGGCCGCTGTTGCCGTTGCCATGACAAAAGAATGCGGCACTCGCCATCAAGTCTCAGGCCAAAGTCAAAATGTTATCTTAACTACGACCACGATTTGGCCAGGCCCCAGACCCCAGACCCCCGACTGGAGAGGGAAAGAGGGATCCAATCCAAAGACAATTGCCGTAAAATGCCAAATGCCGTTGCCGTTGCCGCTGCCTTTGCCTTTGCCCCTGCCTTTGGATTCGGTCTTGGCTTAGACCGTTGGCTTTGCTTTTGGCCCACACAGAGCTGTTGAATGGCATGTTCCTTCCCCCTCCCCTGAATGTTGCAACGGGAATTGGCAGTGGGAATGGATCGAATGGAGTAACCTTTTGGGTACTGCAGCCAGCACACACAAAAATCACTGCAATCATTGGGGGTTTTATTTCAGTTCTCCAACCTGCCCCACTGATGTCTGTCTAATTTTGGGCTAATTTCAATTTCCATTTCCATTTCCCCCCTGCCAATGGCAAAAGGGCGTGCCCCTTTGGGTTGGGGCGATGCCTAAGCTCTGAGTCGGCGAAAATCAAATTGCATTTGATTAACCCCAGAGTGTCTCTGCGGGTAAACAAATGCTGTGAGAGCTATGGGAGATGTCTGTGCTGGCTGCTGTTGCTGTTTACTTTGGGAATGAATTAATTAATGAATATTTCTGGCTGTGACGCAGAATATTAACACTAGGAAGACCAAGGGGGTTCCATAGCAAAAATGAATTATGTTGGAATAATATTGGAATGAACTTGGAAGGTTTTGATGGAGAGTTTTACAAAAATTATCAGTGGGAAGTGGAATTTAAGGTATGCAAGGGATACTCTTATCCAAATCTAAGAGAATATTTGCATTAAACTATATGTAAGTATATAGTTTTGTATCCGCCAAATAGTTTATATTGAATTATATTTATTTTAGTACTTAATGCAAAATATTCGCCATCCTTTTCACCTTCAGTATTATGCAGAGGGACGAGCCCTTCTAGGGTTAATCTTTAGCAGGCCGGCAGAAATCTAGCAACCAAAGATAGAAGGACAGAGAAAGAGCAAGAGAGAGAGAGAGAGAGAGAGAGAGGGCAGAGGAGTCTGCTGATTGATTTGCTAGTGGCTTCTCGTACCCCAGACCCCCACAGCCATGCAACATCAAGTGGAATAGATGCAAGAGGAGAGGAGGCTGCCACAGAGAGTGCAGTGGAGTGGAGTGGAGTGGAGTGCACTTAATAATAATCCGGACGGACAGTCGTTGGTCGCCAGCCAAGTGCCAGCACAGAGGCAATAAAACCAAATCAGAGGCGAAAACTCAAAGAGCACATCCATCGCACTTCTCGTTTCCATTAGCCACAGTTACGTTACGCTACGTTACCCTACGTTACGTTACGGGAGTGGTGATGCAGCTGAACACTGATGGGGGGGGGATGGACACTCACCTGATGCGCTCACGGGCGCCACCACGCTGCCGCCTGCCGCGCAGCAGAGAGTTGAGCTCCTTCATCACATCGCTGCCATTGCGCTCCATCTCGGAGAGAAGTTCGGCCTCGGCCTCCGCCTGGGCAGGATCCATCTCGGCTCCAATGCGATGCAGATCGGAGCCGCTGCGACTGCGCCCCGACACGGGTGCCATGTGGTCGATCGAGTCCACGCTGCTGTTCATGTCAAAGTCCATCATGAGGTCATCGGAGCAGATGGACTCGCAGGGCGACAGGGTGTCCAGGGACTCGGCGCGATCGAGCACCGCCTGCCGCACGGCCATGGGGGTACGGAGACTCAGCTCGATGGCCTGCTGCAGGGCCGTGCGTGCCTTCGACTGACTCTTCAGCGAGCGCAGCGATCCGGTGTGCGTTTCCATCAGGGTGGGCGTGTCGGTGGCCACCTCGTGGGCCTCGCTGTTGCACAGCAGGGCCGGCTGGTCGGCAATCTCGTCGTCAATCAGGTTGCCACAGTCCGAGCCCAGTGAGAGCGAGTGTGAGGCGTGGGTGGGCGTGCCCGGGGAGACGGGACTGCCGCATCCCGGGTCCAGCTCGAGCTCGAGCAGCGGCGAGATCTCATCAATGTCAATGTCGATGTCCTTCTGCTGGCGCTCCTCGTTGAGTTTGTGCTTCTTGAGCTTGCCGCCCGCCTCCTCCGAGTCCTCGGTGCTGCTCACGAGGCTGTCCGTGGGCGAGGTCTCATCGTCCAGCAGGATGCAGCTGCTGCTGGCCAGCGCCAGCTCTGCGAACTTGGACTCGTTGAGCGCATTGTTGAAGGAGCGAGGACGTGGCGACGCCTCCGAATTGTCCACGAGGTGCACCTTGAGCAGCGGCTCCTGGCCGGCCTTCGGTGGCGTCTCCGTCATTGAAGCTGTGAGGGAGTAGAGCTGGCAGTTAGAAAAGGGAATTCCAGTAGCCCGCCCGAAGCCCCCTTTGATCTACTTACAAATTGTGCTAAATGGCATGTCCGTGTGGATGAGACTGATCTCGTCTAGTCCCAGGGACATATCCTCCTCCCTCTCATTTTCCCTGCCATTTTCCGGGGCCTGCGACTGCGATTGCGACTGAGATTGGGTATCGCTGATGCTCATGCTGCTGCAGTCCATGGCGGCCAGGGATTCCCCGGCCAAAGATTGACAGCGCCACGAACTCGAGACGGAGGAATGGCTCTGCTGTTTGGCACTCTTCTCGGAGGTGGACGAGTCCAGGTAGTGCTTCTCCTCGTCCACGCTCTCGCTCTCATCGGAGCCACTGGGCTTGGGCTTCCCCTCCGCCTGCTGGCCGCCGTTGCCAGCCTGATCCGCCGCCTGGGGCGTCTCCTGCCGCCGCTCGTAGCTCTCACGGCTGAGCACCGTATTGGATCGCACCAGCCCAAGCAGCGGCAGTGGTATGGCCTGACTGCCATCTGTCGGCAGCTTGGGCAGCGCCAGTGGCTCCACAAAGGAGTTGGACTCGCTCGAGGGCGGATCGTCGACATCCTTCACCTCGAACGTGTGCCGTCCGCTCATCACCATCTGCAGATTCCGTGGCCGACTGCGACTCCGCTTGGAGCCCACCGAAGAGCTGCCAGAGCTGCCCGAGTCCAGGGCCATGTCCAGACTGGCAATGCCCGAATCGGCGCTGATCTCGCGACTGCCCGAGAAGCCGCGCCGCGTCGAGTTGTTGGTCAGCTGCTTGACGCTCTTCTGGTCGAGATGCCGCTGATCGGAGCGATGATGATGATGATGCGTCTGTGTGGGCTGCACATGCACCGAGGTCAAGGGATGCTGCCGCGAGCTGGTGGAAATGTCCTTGGCCCTGGCACCCGTCGAGTGGCTGGGCACTGGCGACTGCACACTGCTGCTGGGCGTGGTGGGTGTGGTGGCCGTCAGGCTGATGGCCACCGGGTACTCTGGCCGTGGCAGGCTCACCGTTTGCAGCGTAAACTTGGCGAAGCTTGCGGGTGTGAGCCGTGGCGTGGGCCGTACTCTGTGGGAGGGAGAGAAGATCTGCGATTAAGTGCATCGATGCACCGAAGGGATGTCCCTCCACTCACATGACATTCGCGTGCATGCTGGCCAAATTGTTGTAGTTGTAGCGCTGTTGTCCGCCGCGTGTTGGGGCAGCAGCAGCAGCAGCCGTGGATTCATCCGCTATCTCACCAAAGAACTGCCGCCGCTGGTACTCGATGGTTGTGTTCTGGTTGAGATTGAATGTGAGCGTCTTGGGCTGTGCTATTTTGGGCTCTCCATCAGCGTTGCTGCTGCTGCGTCCCGCATGTGCGCTCTTGGAGCGACGTTTTACTAGTCGGGGGGAGAAGGGAGAAGATAGAACTTAAGGTCGGATCTGCTCAGGGTAGCAGATTTCGTTGGTTCACTTACAATTGCTCACCAGCACAGTGCTGGTGCTGGTGCCGGTGCCTGCTCCTCCTCCACAGGGATTGTTGTTATTCTGGGCATTCTGTGCTGCCGTCTCCGATTCGGACTCTTCACTGGCGCCATACAGACCCGTGGAAGCGGGCCGGGGCAGGGCGCCGCGATAGCCAAAGCGTTTGCCCGCCGCCGCACCTGCTGCCGTAGTCGCAGTCGCAGATGTTTTTGGTGCGCCGGCGGCACCCACTTTCTCAAAGTGAATGGGTGTAGTGGCTAGTATGTGCGGAGTGGCATGCCACATCGTTGTTAGATTGGCGACCAAATTAAAAAGCCATAACACTTACCAGCATTGCCATTGTCGTCCTTTGTGTCTGTCATTGGTGTGGAATTGGAATTGGATTCCAGGAGTTTCTTCAACTTCTTGGGCGTACCATTGAGCTTCTTGCGAAAGCCAAAGGACATGGCTGTGCCTTTGGTATGCAGTGGCTGTTGCTGCTCCTGCGAGCTGTCCAGCATATTGCCATTTAGGTTACGTCGATTGGACTTGCTGCCATGCTTCTTGCTCTCCGCCTGGCCCTAGAGAGAGAGAGAGAGAGGGAGGGGGAAAAATGAATTAAAAACGGAAAGCGGTAGGCGGTAGGCGGCTTGGCAAATCGGGTCAACACACAGATGGATGGAGGAGAATGCACTCTCCACACAAAGCCACAGAGACACAAAGGAACACGGAAGACAATGCGGCGCAAAACTAAAAAAATAAAGCTGTGATTGTGGATTGTGGGTGGGTTGTGGGTGGGCTCTAACTACGTGGGGCAGGCATGACTCATACAGAAACTATAAATACTTATTTTAATATGCACTATCTACAAGATACATTTGCTTGTATCCAACGGCACACGAGGGGGGGGTCTGTCCCTGTCTCTTTTTACCATGATGACTGCCTCAACTTCTGCGTCTACTGCTGCGTCCTCCTCCTCCTGCTCAGCCTCAGTCTCAGCCTCAAGCTCTGATTCTGCTGTATCTCGAATGCTTTGCGTATCTGTATCTGTGTCCTTTGTATCTTCCGAGTGCTGCAATCCCTTATCATTGATGGTGGGTGACTGCGGCTGCTGCTGCTGCTGCTGCTCAAATCCCTCCCCGTGTTGTGCGGCTAATGTGACGACGACGGGGTTGTCGCATTCATCCATGTTGTCGGCAGGCGGCAGGGGCACACTCGCTGTTTCGGCGAGTCTCCTCCTCCTGCTGCTGCTGCTGCTGCACTCGATTGATCCTCCTGTCGGAGTCCCACTGGAGTCTCCGTCTGTATGTTGGCCACGAATCCTCTACTGCTATGGATGCCAGCAATGTACATCGCACCGGAATTACGCCATTTATAATTGCACTACACACTCACACACTCACACACAGATACACACTCTCTCAGCGGGTATACACACGTATCCCACGTACACCCACTCGGTGAGAGGGGGCGGGGGGTGTCAGTCCTTGAAAATGTCAGTCCGTCGTTTTGCTGGAAAAATCTTTGAGCAGAGCAGATTTTTCGCACACTTTTCACGCCTCAGGTTATGCAAACGTTTTGCTGCTTTCCGTTTTGAAATTGTCTCTAGCACTTTTCTTTGGTTTTTCTTTGGTTTTTCTTTGCTTTTCTTGCAGTTTCTTTTGATATTTTGTATAGTTTTGCAGAGTTTTTGCTGTCCGGCGACAGTTTTCCACTTGTGAAACTACAGCAAACGGAAAATTGAATGGGAAAATTCTCACGGCATGCGACACGAGTGAATCCGAGACGTCCACCACCTTGTGGTGGTTCTTGCTCGCTCGCTCGCTCTATGCCCCGTTTGACCAGCGAGAGAGAGCGAGCGAGAGAGAAAGAGTGTCCACTCATGCGCAGAGGCCACAAAAACAAGTGGCAGAAAAATTGTATGCAACAATTTGGGGTTGATTGTCTCTGCAACATCTACGAATTTACTAAAGCCGCAACACTAGCAGAGACACGAACCGCGCTGGGTGGAAAAGGTTTGGAAATAAATAATTTTCTGTTCAAATAATTAAAATTTCGACTTTTAAAACTTTTTTAAAATAAAGCAATAAAAGGATTTATTAAAAAAACATCTATAATCCTATAGAAAATTTATTAATATATCGAAAAAAATTATTTTTTGCAATGGAAAGCCAGCATTAATATTTTAAGTACTTGCAAATTACAGTTCTGTAATTGGACTATAAGTAAAAGTATACCCCGGGGAATTTCTCTCCATTCTTACACCTAATTTGCCCATGTAAAATGCATAAATAATTAATCCTTTAGACGCCCATTTCGTAGTTTAAGGAGAACATAGCAGGGGGACAGCTCCTGGGGGACAATAAATGTGGCAGAATAAGAGGGAACTAAGCGTTCGTTCTACTCCCTACTTCCCCTACTAACTTGTGCATGTAAAATGCATGTGTGGGTACTAATTATTCTTGGGGGACTCCCCTCAGGCAGTAAACGAGGATGTGCAAGTGAATATCCAAGTGGGGTAAACACTCCAGATTAGGTAAATCAAGAGTGTAAGATATGTGCCATGTGACGGGGGAGACTCGTTCAAAGGGGGATGTTATTATGCTGGACATGTTTGCCAAACACTTTGCAGGGAAAACTGAAGAAGGAGTGGTCTGGGCTGCGAGAGCTATTAGAGTTTGGCATCTACCGACCAGCTCTTAATCCCTTCTCAATTTCCAATCAATTTCCCCGACACTTTCTCCTCTAAACAATAAATATTGATGCCTGGGGGAAATCCAAACGAAGTCCGAGATGATGACAACTGCCCAAGAGCAAGTGATGGGCAGGGCTTGACCCACACAGTCCACGGAGGGGACAAATTTCAACAAAAGGATGCAACATTTATTGATAGTTTTCCTGGCAGCCCCATCCCTGCACCCCAACCTTAAAACCAACCCCCAATCTAGTTATAAACATTTATCAATATTACTCACCTCATCTCCATCTCCGTTTCCATCGAGTGCCAGCCAGCCATTGTTCTTCCTTGCTGCTGGAGAGTCCTGCTGCTGCTCCTGCTGCTGCTGCTGATTCTGAGTCGCTGGCCTGAATCCTTGCCTCTCAATGGACGCTGCCTGGAGGAACTCCTGCAGCAGGAACTGCTGGCAAGCCGAGTAGACGTAGTGGCAGTCCTGGCTCTGCTCTTGGTTCTGGTCCACTTGGGCCACGTTGTAAAGGGACTCAATGTGCAGGAGGGCGGCCTCTCTTTCGGTCTGCTCTGTCTGCCAATCTGCCAGCGGTGGAGCCTTGGCTGCCGAGTGGCGGCTTATGCTGTAATAAAATGTCTCCTCCACGGGCTGCTGCTCCTCCCCGTGCTGCTGCTGCTGATGCTGCTGCTGCTCTTGTTGTGCCACTGATGAGGCTGTGGTTGCTATGTATTCATTACTGGCTGTCAACTGTTGCCAGATTTTGTGGGCCTGGGCCAAATCTTGCTGGGACAGTGCGATTGTCAATACGGATTGATGATGCTCCCCGTCTGGGGATGTAATCTGAGGAAGTGGCAGTGGAAGTGGCAGTGGCAGCGACGGCAGTGGGGACTGCCGGGAGACACACTTGCCCATCTTATGTCACATGCTCGCAAATCGCAAAATGCACTTGACAGACGAGGTCTTGCGGTGGCTGGTGGCGCCGCCTCCTCCTCCCAGTCCTCTCGTGCAACCCCTCTTTGGTGGCTGGTGTCGCCTCCTCCTGGAATGGGGGCTTCAAAAGAAGAATCAAATGAGTGGCTTGGCTATTGGATCCATGCGATTCGCATATCGATATGCTGGGAGCTGCCTCGTAGCTGCCTTGCGGTTTGCGTGCAGGTAATGATACACCTGTCTCTCGGCACCTCATGCCCCCCGGCCGAGCCGGCTCACCCCCTGCAAGATACCTACCGCCCTCCCTGGGGCCAGTCCATTGCCAAAGCATTATATCGCGCTGCACGTTTTTTATTAAATTTTATTAGAGTGCCTGCCGCACATGCACGACCTGAGTGAGAGGAAAACCCAGCCCAGCCCAACCCAGTCCCAGTCCCATGCCCAATGCCCCATGCCCCCTTTTATCCATTTGCTGAGCTCCATCCATGCACGGAGAGAGCAGGACAAAGTGTGTGTGTGTGTGTGGGGAGGCAACAAAAATAAAAGCGAGAGAGAGAGCAAAAAAAATATATTCACGCAAATGTAAGCAGCCTTTGGGAGTGCTGAAGACCTGCATCACTGGCTCTGTCCTGCCACTGCCTTTGCCACTGCCACAGCGCCTTCTACTGTTCCTGTTGCAGCTCTCACTGCACCGCCTCCTGCAGCTCCTGTAGTGTTCCTGCTTCGTAGCTTTATGGCGCATTTGCCGCATAACAAAATTTACACCCACCAGAAGCCAACGCGTTCGGGCTTGGGCCTGCCCTTTGTGGCAGAGGCAGGACACCCTAACAGCGGCCTCAAGGCCATCCACTACTATATCGGGGCATTCAACAGCCTTTGATTACTGATTCGATGCGTAAATCAATTTGTGAAGCTACTTAACATTGGCGAGACACAATTTTAGACATTTTGTTTGCTTTTAGCAAATGCATTTCTTGGTAAAAGACTCGGACTGACTCTCTCTGACTTTGCAGGGATATAAAAAATATTACCAAGTCAATATTTATATATGTATCTCCAATATAGGATAGAAAGAAATTAAGTGGGTGTCTCAGTGTTTCTGCGAATAAAGGAACAGCCCACCAAACACATTTATTTATTCTTCGAAATTTCTGATTTAAGCGGGGAAAGAACTGTATGGGAAACTATAGGTTACCAGCTACTATACAGTTTCAATTTATATCTGAAAATCTCACAGAACATATAAAAAAAAAAATAATAGTCCCATCAGAGTTCCTTTCCTTTCTTCGCTTTCCTTCAACATTCTTCGCTCTGAACTACGACAGATTCAACTCATTTTTAATCCGTAATCCACTGTGGGGTTACCTCTGCAATATCATTATTCCCCTCTTGCAACTCCCCCCTCTATATATGCCAAAGATCCTTTTTGTCCTTATCCTATAGTGTATTGCATTTATCGCCTTTTTGTGCATGGCTTTGAGTTCCCGTGTTGATCCCTGGGTGGGGTCTGTGTTTATGCCTGCTTATGTCGTTTTGGCTTACTTACATTTGCCGCGGCTTTGTGCTGCATAAATTTCAGTGCCACGCCTCCGCATAGCAGCAGAGTCCGTGCATCCCTTAGCAGCTCCCACACCACACCCCACCACACCTCACCACGTCCACCTCCATGATCCACGCTCCATGCTCCACGCTCCATGCCCCACCTACATCTCCATCAAAGGTACTGCACTGCACTGTACTGTACTGCTAGTACGTGGCCCTTTTGTGCCAACTGCCAACTTTTATTTGCTGCCTTTTCACATAATGAGGCAATTCTGCAGTTTGTTCTGTGCGAGTTTTCACTTGTTACTCTTGTATTTAATAAGCCAAAGGGCCACATAGCCCACAGAGAGAGAGAAAGAGAAAGAGAAAGAGAGGGGAAGAGGCAAGGCCAGAAGCAAAGACAGAGGCAGGAAGGAGTACATGCCGGATGCAGAATGCAGGATGCAGCAGGGGATGATGAGGGGGGCTCTAGCTAATGCAGCGCTTTGTATGCGCGAAGAACAAATCCCTCAGCAGATCCCAGATATTGGTCGCATATGTAAATTGGGGCAGCAAACGAAGCTACTTGTAATTATGCGCATAAATAACTCACAAAAGGAGACACACAGAGAGCGAGAGAGAGAGAGAGAGAGAGGCTGTGGCTGTGGCTGAGGCTGAGGCGCCTCCGATAAGGCTGCATTCGCATTGCATTGGCGTTTTGGTGGGGCTCATGCATAAGCATATCCATTGCCCATTTCGATTCGATGTGGCATGCAACAGCTGTGCCGCCGCTTACAACAAACACTTTGAATGGGCACTGGCACTGCCTCATGCATTTTAATACGGCCTCTCCACTCCTCTCCTCTCCTCTCCTGGGCAAGAACTGCAATAAAAAACACACTCCGATATGAAATGGCGGGGCTCTGCCACATGCCACACTCCACACTCCACACACCACACACACACACTCCCCATGGCAGGGTGGCTGGGGTGGCAGTGGCTTGGGTGCCCCAGTATAGTTATGCTGACAGGACAAAGTTTTGTGGCATGATTAAAACGAAACCTCACCCAAGTTGGCAGCGCTGACAATTTTAATACAAACAAAAACTTCCCTTTGCTGACAGCGGCGCGGAAGAAGCGCCGAAGAAGGCCAAAACGAAGCAGCAGAAGAAGCGCCCAACAAGACCAAGTTAATTTTGCATGCCACTGCCACAAAATGCTCCACTCCCCTCCCCAGCCCACACCCCTTAATGCAAATTGACGGCAATACAAGAATGGGCTGCACAAAAGAGAGGTGAGGTCGGGTGAGGTGTGGTGTGGTGAGGACACCCGGCAAAAACTTCTGTCTGCCGATTCGCGCGGACATTTTGCGGCTGTTGTTGGGCCCCCGCCGAATGCAATTGCATTTTGGTAATTGAACAAGTCAGCGCTTAATTACGTCTCACTACAGTGAAGCTCCATAAATGTCTGGCCTGTCCATGGGATGGGCTTGCGGGTTTTTGCAATTTCCATCAGCCATTCGGGGGAATGAGAGATAATTTCCATTTGGTTTGAAATGCGCAAAAATGAGCAAATATCTTTCTGGAAATGATTGTTGTTGTTGGGTAGCATAAAG